ATGAATATACAGATACATAATGTGTATACATTATATATAAAAGAATACACTTATATAAACCAGTCTTTCATTTCACCACAGGAAAAAAAGGGAATAGAAAAAACTTTCAATTCTCTACAGAAATTATATGGAAAACATTCGTATTGGTCACAATTTACTTACAATAAACTCGTTTATTATAAATGAATAATGAGTAACTATTCATAAATCAAATTCATTTATTATTCATTTATTTATAACAGATAATTGACATTAAGGAAAATATCTGATAATCTCTTAATAAAATTCTTAAGACAACTGAGTAATTTTTTTCAGGATTAAAATGAAACGTAAATTCATGATACCTATACTTTAATTACGGTTTAATTTACTGATATTTTCCATTGCAAAGCCACTAATCCTTGTGAGTCATCAACTTTACTCCAGTTCATGTGTCCACTATGTTCTCTACGTTCCTTTGTCTATTTCATATGTGCATAAAAATAAAAACATTTAAATTTTTCAAAAAAGCAAAATTTTTAAACTTATAAGCATTAACTCAGAAGTCCCTGCTCTACAATCTGTATGATTTTAATATATTTCTATAATTCATTGTAGGAATAAAAATTTAGAAATAGAAGAACTGCCGATTCCACATATTAATGATCATGAGCTTTGGAAAATTTTTATATAGAAAATATTAAGTCACTGCAGTTGCCAAAATAAGGAACTTTATGTTGACATTTCTCAGATGCTATTAATAAACCTGTTTTAGAATCGTTGGTGGACATACATTTTTCTTGCTCCTTCATTTTTTTGGTAATAGCTTCATTTCAAATTCTATTCCCCTTTCCACACACCAAACCTCTTGCTCACAAGGGCATCAGTCAGTCAATTCTGTGGGATGCCGTAAGTCTCCTAGAAATTCACTATATAAAATCAAAGTAGATATTGGTAAAATAATAAAAAAAATTTACAAAGTGTGTACTAGGCATTCTACATTCATGATCTAATTTAATAGCACCTATGGGATAGATTTAAACATGAGGAAACTTAATCTTATTTAAGCAAATTGTCCAAGGTCACAGTTATTAAGTGGCAGGGTCAGAACCTGAACCTAGGTCTACATGACTAGGAAATCTATTCACATTAAGTCTATACAATATTGCTTTATATCCACATACCATTTAGTTTTTAAAATATTTTCACACAGATTATCTAGGGTTTACCTCGCAATACCCTTGAGAAGAAGGTTTCTAAGCATCAAACCTGAAACTCCCACATCCAACTTTACTTAAAAGGGCATGTAATAAAAGTGCCAGAGCTGGAAGAAGATCCTCTGACTTTTAGTCTAGTGCTATTCCACTTATAGCTCATGTAGTATGATTTTTTTTCATTTAGTACAACTCACTGCTCTCCTTTCCCATATTTGGATAACCACACCTATTAATAAATATACATGCTGTGAAAATAAGTTGCTCACTGCATTAATCAAGTCCATTTGCGGTTTATATCTATTCTATTGACCATGATTTGGAAGGTTATTATTACTGATTTACATTTGAAAGCTAATACCCAGTATACAACCCTAGGAGGAGCTATGATCTGCAAGAATTAAAGTTGTTTAATCTCCTTGTCTAACTGTCCAACATTCACTCAATAAACAATTTATGAGTACCTACCATGTACTTCAGTATTCTGGTGCTGAAGACACAACAGTAGAGACAGAGTCCTTGAATACCTGAGAGCTTTATGGTTTACTAAGGAACAGCCCAGCAAACAGCAATTAAATACAATGTGCTAGAAGCACAACTAGAATGGAAAACATTGTGTAGTAGTGTACAGGACTGAGTAGCTACCTCTGCCCATGGGGGAAGAAAGCATTCTTGGTGGTGGCAATAATCTAATAATCTATATAGGCAGTGAAAACAAGAAAGACCTCAGATTAAGAAAACAAGAGGTGTCAGAGGCCCTAAAACAAAAACCTTTATGTGTTATCTAATGGTGAATTATAGCACAATTCCCTAATAAATGTTAAGATTTCTACATTTAGCTTTCATGAATTGATAAAAGTAGTCTCAGAAATGCCTTCAAAATTTCAAATCACTTGTGTGTATGAACTGTGTATAAAGTCAAAGCTTATTTTTATATTCAACCTTAGCAGCAATTTAGTCAACCATTTCTGCTGTTAATCTTCCAGATTTCATCAGTAATCTATGTTATTGCTTTCTTAAATTCTCTAAAATTGGAGGAACTGTGAAGTAAAACTGCAGACTCATTCAACCACTTTCACATTGACATTTTCCCCTCCAATACTCAAAGCTTTCTAGCTTGTTTTCTCTTTCCCATTTTGGTCTCAGCCAGACAGGACTGGTTTGGACTTCCAGAGCACTTAAGGAATTCTCCTTATTTGGTGGAATCACCTGGGTAATGAGGCACCACTATTTTTTTCCTCTCCTCTAGAGATCAGGGAACCTAACTATGGAGAAAATTAATAGATAAAACTATATTTGTATCTGTAGCAGGTATGGCTACGTAAACATATCATTAGTACTATTGTCCAGTATAGGTCGTTAAGTACAAAATGCTAAAAAAATCCACAAGAGATATCAATAGTGTTTATTACTTAGGGAAAGCAAGATCTTCAAGGTTATGTTTTCTAGTAAGCAGCATAAATAGATCAGTTTCCCTATTCTGAACTTACTATAAAAATTTTTTTGTTAAATTGCTATTATTCTAGAATTATAACTTTTTGTTTTGCTTAACAAAATAAGACCAGTCTATTGTACAGAATTTGGAAGATACAGAATACATCTACTACTCAAAGGTAATGCCATCTTCCTCATTTTTCAGCTGTCTTTTTAATGTATTCTTCAAATACATTAGTTAGAAAACTAAAAGGTTTAATGAGAATATGATTTTGCTGTATCTTAACAAAAATGGCAATTTAAATTTTAAAAACAAATTTGTAATTTTTGTAACGTCTTTCAATGGAAAAGAAACATGAACTTCCTGAGTTTGCAGTACAAATAAAAGAGTTTAACCCCAAACAGAAAAATACTCATCCCTAAAGCACATTGTTTGAGGTCAAAACATTGGCTACTACATTACATACGAGTACACTGAGTTGGGCAAAAACCTGGGCAAAACAATTTCTGTATTTTCACGAAACATAATTCACTAAACTCTAAAGAGGTCATTTGGAGCTTCACAAATGGGGAAAGCTAAGGAGGGATAAAAGTCCTCTTAAATTAAATTTACCACACAGCTGGTCAAGGAATTGATTGGAAGTGGCCATTAATTAGGATTTTAGGGAAGAATGGCAAAAAGAGAAGGATCGAAATCAGCAATATCTTAGCTTAATATTCTTACCTTTAAGTTTATGATCTAATAAATTTGTTTTAGTTATATTTCCAGCCCAATCAGTTTTTGAAGAATTATTTCCCTCTCAGGGAAACCTAGTCACTTTTCCCTATGCTAGCCTGGGCCTCTGGCAGACCACGACACCGAAACACCATCTTTCAACGCCTCCCCATTCAATCGAGACTGTCGCATTACCAACATCCTCCGTTTTGAAGTGTATCTTTATTTCTATAACTGTCATCTCCTTCAAAGAAGAAAAAGCCCTGCTTTTGCCCTTCCAGTCCCACCCGAAGCATGTGAACACCTATAGAACCTTTCCTGCAGGGATGTCAGATTTTAAAACCCTTTCAATTACTGAGAAAGCACATTCGGAGGGAAGCTTTTCAGTGACTCCGCAGTGAGGGCCATATCAGGGACATTCCCTCCCAAGCCTGTCTCACTGGAGACGCCTCTGCCTCCAGGGTTTTTCCTACCTCCCCGCTCCCCAGCCCTGGGGAGCTTTACTGAGGGTAAAAGACAGTGAGGCCCTTAAACCACAGAATGGGCTTTGAGGAATAGGACCTGACCACTATTGCAGACCCCGAGGAATGGCTGAAGCAATCCTGGTACCCGAAGCCCCAAAGACTCCGAATAGGGAATCATAATGGCCGCCCTCACTTCCAACCCTGGGACATCTCAATCCCCAGATAGCGGGGTCGACCATAGTGGAGGAGTAGGGGTCAAGAAATCTGGAAAAATGAGCTCCTAGCCTGCGCACAGTGACAGCGGAGGCGGCCTTCACACGCCTCCTTCTCTTCCTCCTCCCACCCCTTCTCCTATCTCCGCCAGTCGCCAGTTACCGGTCGCCTCTCACCTGCTGGGGCGCGAGGTGCAGTATCAGTACGGATCACAGACCCAGAAGCTCTTTCACTACGGGAGGGGCAGTCTTCAGCCGCGGTGTGGGGCGGGTCTAACCAGTCACGCGACCTCGAGCTCCGCCCTGCCTCCACCATCCCGGCGCGCCGCATCTCCGGGACTTGTATTTTTGCAGATCGTTTGAATATTAATTTTCTTGCATTAAAGGAAAAAAGTAAATTTAAGTTTCCACAAAGATTTGTTGTAAAGTGCAACGCAGAAGGCGCGGATGACAAGGGTTAAAGTGCATTGCTAATGAAGTGACGTTCACAGCACGATCTAGGGACCGGAAATGGCGACGGACTTCCGTCCCTTTGGGGCCCGTCGGTAAAATCCCAGGCTATAAGGTTTGGGCCAATCACGTGACCTCAAAACTTGAGGCGCGTTGGAGGGCAGCCAAGTTATCCGGCCGATTTTTAATTACATTTGTTTGTTTTTAAAATACCTCATTTACGTGAGTTTTCCACAGGGTTCTTTACATTTAGAAGAACCAGCCGTGTAAAACCCTATTAGGAGACAAGAGCGTTTGAAGGTCACTCTGGGGACTACCAACTGGGAAGAACGGGGTCCGGAACGATCCTGCTGATGTGGGACAGGAAAGAGAGGGGTGGCAAGATCCGGATTTTACCGCCAGGGCCTACCGAGCAAGCCCCACAAGTAGTGTCGTAAGGGATAGGGGGAGGAGCATGTCGCCAGACGGCAGAGCCCTCCAGTAGAAAGATGGAGGTCCCACAGTGGAGGGGGAAGGGTGCCCGGAGGCGAGCAGTGCGGCTGCGCGCGAGGCGCCGGACGCGCCGGCGCGCAGAGGGGGCGGGGTGAAAGGTCACAGCGCGGCGGCGGGTCTGGCTGGCGGCAGCTGCGGGCGGGAGGCAAGAGCCCCGTGTGCACGTGTGGAGAAGCGTCTGCACCAGCGCGGCGGCGGAAGACACCACTGCCGCCTCGGGAGACTCAGGGCCGCGCTCGACTCTCGCGGCCTCGGTCACCCGCTCAGCTTCCTGCCCAAGGCGAGGAGGCCAGCTTGCGGGGTTGGTGGCCAGAGCTGAGGGCGCGGAAAGCTCAGGGCGGCGAGGACTACGGCGTTGATATCGGCGGTAACGACGGCCTCAGTAGGCGGGGAAAATGAAAGGGTGAGGAAGGGCAGCTGGACTGGGCCCGGCCGGAGGGGTAGAGGGTTCCGTGCCCATTTAGAGAGAGAGAGCTGCGAAGGAGGGGAGAGAGAGCGAAGACTGGGCGAAGGGGGATTTCTAGGTATCTCAGGAACTGAGGCGAGGCTTGGGCTGTTGGCGGTCTGAAGGGCCAGCGGAGGCAAGACCCGGGGAACCCAGGATTTGGGCCCGGAGGACGAGGGTGGGTTAATTGGAGACTAGCAGCTGAGTGGGCAACAGGGAAAAGCTATTGTGAGGCGCCTGGGGCCTCTCACCTGGGAGCGGACGACCGAGCCATCGCGGCCCGCCACTCCAGGTGTAGTGGTGCGGTGGTTCTCTTTTCCAGATCCACACTCAGCACTGGAACTGCCGTCTTTGACACCTTTCACCTTTATTCACGCTTGGGAGCTGTGCAGAACCTTCTGGAGAGAGAAGAAATTGGAATAAAGAGCATGGGAATGAATATTAAGAGCTAGTGACTCAACTAGATTTGGGTTGGGTCAGAGCGAGTGGAGGAGGGGGAGAGAGCGCGATCACTGTATACTTGGGGTGCCAGAATGTTTTAGGAAGTATTGTGGATCAGTAGGTGGAGCTATTGCTTCAGTAGTTCGCTATTGCCCCCGACTGCGGTGAGAGGGTCTTGAGGTTACTACGCTGCTTTCTTCAGGAGATTGGCGAAGTTAACATTCCGTCTGTCACAATTTTAGATGAAATTAGGGACTATTTTGGTTCGACTGTTTCCATTTGGATAAAATGTCTTTTTACCCTTAAGTTTTATGCTGTTAAAGATCAACTTCATAACATTGTCTTAAAGCATTGCCTAACTAAGCTCCGTTTTGGAAGCTTGTTTTTACCTTCCCTTAGAGAAAGAAGTGAAACTTATGAATGTTAAAAGCTTTCTGAGATGCTTAAGTTTTTTTCTGTTGTAAGTCGGTTAAAGAATTGTAACTATCTTTTAAGCTTAGTGAAGCCTTTCTAACTAGCTGTTCAGCGTCCTTTTAAAAAAGATGAAATAAGAGTCAGTTTTCAGAGTAATCTCATACTGCCTAAAGGATCTAAATATTATCTGTGTGTATCTGTGTTTAAGGCCGATGAAGAGATTTCTAGAAAGTTTAATTCAGTCTTAGGTCTGTAACATTTCCTTACTCTAATTTTGCTTTCAAAACTAGATAGTCATTCTAATATTGAATTACATGTTTTATAATAAGAATTAAAGTTTAGGAAACATGAAGATACTATCAAAATACCTGCATTATTTCCCAAGTTCTAAAGAGTTTCACTTAGGAAACTAGTTGAGGAATATAGGGAGTATTTTCTCTACTTGGATCGTGATCTAGGAATTTTGGCTATTTTGTATATGGTCCAACATACTTGGAGAGTTTTGTTTTCCTGATGGACTGCGCTCCTTATGTGTGGTTGCTGTGCGTTACTCGTTTTTATATTCTCGTTGCCAGATACTCAATACATATATCATGTTCTATTAAAGTAAGAAAAATGAGGCCGAAGAGTTCCCAGTGTTGAAACTGCCATGGACTTATAGAGAGAGACACTAAGAAATTATTCTGGATGTTTAGATACAAAATCTTTGATCTAGCTCAGTCTCTCTAGGGTGTAATATTCTTCCTGATACCTAACTTGGCAATTGAAATGGGGCCAAACAGTGATAATTCACAGTCTACATTTAATTAATATACTTATGAAGCAATTATCTTTTTGTTTGGAGTGGATATTTATGTGTAACCTGATGGAGGCAGATACCTAGAAATGAGCAACTGACCAGATTTAGAGGAAACAGTTACTGAATCTGTACCTTATGCTAACAACTATGCCTGTATAATTTCTATTACTTCTTATGATTGGAAGCTTGGAATTGTGTTCTTTTAAACTTTAAGAGGATTTCATGGGAATAGTCCCTTTTACTTCCCAGATGAACTCCCAGGTAAGACAGGACTTTAAAAATTTTTTTGCTTCTAAGTCTGTATTTAAAGCACTGAACAAATGAGAACAGTATACGTTTAAAAGATGTTAAGGTCCTTGAGTTCCAAAACTTGTATCACCATGCACAATATAGTCATTTTGATAGTCCTGACTCTTGATTTGGAATGGCCTGTGAAAATGAAACAGTGGTCCAGTATGGTTTTGTACAAAATCTTATTTGCTAAATGTTTAATGTATATTGAACTAACTGAACAATAAGTTGAATAGAAATATCTAAAATTGGAAACTGCAGAACTCACAACTCCAAGTCAATCTATTATTTAAATATTTTACATTGTTGCCTGTATTGCCTATCATTCTGAAACTTTTAAAACTTATTTTATCTGGTTTTTCCTCATATTTTTACAATGAGTATTTTTATTAGCACTAAGACATTCCATTGTATTGGCATGTATTTGCCTTTCTTTCATAGTAGATAAATTTCCAGTTAATAACTACTGTATGTGTTTATGTGCTTGTCTAGAAGTTTGAGATCTAGAAAATGTTGCTTCCTTTTTATGAAGTTGCTTGTTTTTATGAACCAGGGACATTGTAGTTTGAATTTGTGGATAAATTTTTATCTGTTGTTTCTTCCTGAGGAAAATTATTTCAAGAAAAATATGCCATAGACAACCAAGACTGAGGTGGCAATGTAATTAGTGTAATGGAAAGTAAAACTAAGTCCATTTACCCTTCAATTGTAGTAAAGACGTGCAAATTCTAGTAAAAATGTCTTTAACAAGATATGACTACTATATGTGACTAAAGTAAAGATGGGACTGTAGGTAGGAATAATGTAAATATAGAACAGTGTAGTTTACTAACTGAAATATTTAAAGAGGCCATTTTGACTTCATGTTACTAGAAAATAAAAGATTCTGCAGTCAAACAAAACTATGAAGAACTCAGAATAATGGTTACCTCTGACAGCATGTGGACTGGGAAGGGGCACAAGTAATTTTCTGGGATGCTAGAAACATTCTGTATCTTATCTGGGTGTTGGTTGTGTGTGTGAGGGGGTGTATGTAAGTAAAAAAAAAAAAGAAATCGTTGAGCTGTACACAGGATCTGTGATTTTTTTACGCTTTAATAATTAAACTTTTTTAAGGTTATAAGCCAGTCAGGCTGAAGCCATGTTTGACAACTTTGTAAGTCTACAATTCATACTTCTTGCTTCTGTGAAGCCAGTAATTGTTGTTTTATTGATTGAGATAGTGAATTTTAACAAATACTTTGTGGTTTTTTGAAACTCATACATTCATCTTTATATCAAATACTTTGTTATGTTATATACAACAAATAATGTGTTGAGGTGAACCGTATAAAATATAACCTACCTGGACCACAGTTTTTAAAAATAAATCAATGTAATATCCTAATATAAAGAAGAAATATAAGGAAAATAAATTATAATAAAAATCTATTTCAGCGTGTAATGATCTGGTATAACTATGCCACAAAACATAAGAAGATCAAATGTTTGCATCTGTCTATAAATTGAATCATTGTATAATTTAGAAAGTATGTCTACTACCTATATAGGTGTGTAATTTGGTTACTCATGCTCTGTTGCCACCTGGTGTGATTTCTTCCCAAAATTGCAGACAACTCTTGGTAAAGGTCTTAATGAAGAATAATCAAGAATTTCTGGGTTGGAAAAGATTTTTAAAAGTCATTCAGTAGGCCAAGGACTCGGCTATTGCATCAAAATATTAATATATTCTGTTTACTATTAAATTTCAAACATCCTGACTGCTGTTACGTGAATATTACCGCACATGCGATTGGTAGAATTAGAAAGTGGGACTACTACTATCATTGGTCTACATATGTATTCCTGTTATTGCAATTTATGGTCAAATTAATTTTACATTGTTGAACATTAACTATATTGTCAACTAAAATCTCTTCCTAAAGCATGTAAAGCATTCTCTTTCAATCTTAATGCTTTGCCAGACCAAACCAATATTTAGATTAAATTTCGCTTTGCTACTTCCTCTGTTTTGGCCTGTGGAAATATTTTTGACTTCTGATTTTCTCATCCAGTTATTAGCTATGGCTTTCAGCTTTTTGATATCTGCAAAGATATACTTTCTCAGTTATTCAACTGTCCTTCATCTTTTTTTTTTTAAACACAGCCTACAGTAACCAGTAGACTACCAGTAGAAGCCAATAGAAACATCCTTTCCACCATGAAAATGTGAATTGTATGGATTATGGTTTAATAGCTACAAAATTATATAATTGTGTTATCGCCTGACCCTGCTTTTCTCTTTATCTTTCCTCTTCTGTCACCTGTTTAAATCTAGTGCCTACCTTACTGGCAAAATTTTAGTCTTGTCTTGTCTAATACATTGTGACTAGCTACAGTTGTCTCTCTACTAAAAATAGAAAAATTAGCTGGGTGTGGTGGTGTGCGCCTGTAATCCCAGCTACTCAGGAGACTGAGGCAGGAGAATCACTTGAGCCCAGGAGTTTGAGATTGCTGTGAGCTAGGCTGACACCATGGCACTCTAGCCCAGGTGACAGAGTGAGACTCTGTCTCTAAATGAATAAATAGTTCCCAGATGGTAGATATTTCTAAATGTTTCAATGTGTGGGCCAACACAGAGTTTATGACTGTTTATACCTCTGGTGAAGGATTCTGAGGTCACTACTGATTTTTGATTAAGGTGTTATAATCCAAATACCTTGTCTGCCGTAGGTGGGGAAGGAATGGTTGTAAGTGTATATTTGTCTTTCCTGAACTAGTGCAACCTATATTCTGCCTCTATCATTGTTAAAGCTATTCTTAGGAGAATACCTTGTTTTCTAAGTATAAAGGCTCCTCATCTCAGTCCCCTATAGTGCTGTAGTGAATACTTGTTTATAAAACTGCTCAGCACACATACTTAATGATTTCTTTTGGATAATTTCCTAGGAGTGAATTTTTTGGATCAAAAGATACTGGCATTTTTAAAATTCTGATATTTGCTGCCAGTTGACCTCCAAAATGATAGTAGCAA